GAAGAAGAAGAAGGGAAGGAGGGGGAGAAGAAGAAGAAGAAGAAGAAGAAGAAGAAGAAGAGAAGAAGAAGGGGCGAGAAGAAGAAGACGAAGAAGGGGCAAAGAAGAAGGGAAGGAGGGGGAGAAGAAGAAGAAGAAGAAGTGAAGAAGAAGAAGCTAAGGAGGGGGAGAAGAAGAAGAAGCTAAGGAGGGGGAGAAGAAGAAGAAGCGAAGGAGGAGGAGGAGGAGGAGGAGGAGGAGGAGGAGGAGGAGAAGAAGGAGAAGGAGCCGAAGAAGAAGTTGACGCAGCGAAGGGGGAGAAGAATAAGAAGACGGCTGGTGGAGAACGACGGGAAGGGGGGCAAAGAAGAAGAAGAAGAAGAAGAAACGAAGTAGAAGCGAAGAAGAAGAAGAAGAAGAAGAAGAAGAAGAAGAAGAAGATCTCTCTCTCTCTCTCTCTCCCCCCCCCCTAAACTAAGTCCCTTACCTTGTTGAGGCGGTCGTTGGGGGTCGACGCCGGGGTCACGTGCGATGGCGGGCGTTGGCAGGTGCTGGCGGGGTGCGTTGAAGTTGCACGTCGTGCCGGCGGACACAGAGTGGTGCAAGGCAGGGAAGGGGGGACGTCGGGGCACATCCTCAGCATGGGGGAGGGAACGGGGGCCGGTAGTTCCCGCCCCCACCGATTTGAAATCGGTGGAATCTGGGCCGTCGATCTTCGAGATCGACGATCCAGATGGGGCCCGATTTCAAATCGGTGAAATCGGGCCTACCGGCCCTGTTTTTTTTTTTTTCGCGGTCCACACGGTCTATGAAGGGGGAAAAAAGGGCCCCAGTGCCGAAAAAACAAACAAACCTACCCTACAGTGATGCGCTGGGGTTGCCCGGTGGCCAACCGGGCGCAACAACCGGCCAGGCGGCCCGGCACCCCCCCCGGGCGACGGCCAGGCCGCCGGACGGCCCGGGGACCAGCCTAGATGATAACAAGATTGTTTCGTCAGAATTGCACCGACTCATCAGGAGGCTGAACCCTCGACAATCTGCGGAATCCCCGTATTTGATGGTTTGGGTCATGAACCCTTTGACCCTTGTTGAAGGCAGAATGTCCCCAAGAGGAACATAGCAGCGGGCAGCAACCCTGTGAAGCACCAGGCAACACAGTAGAGGCAACACGGCTGCACAACGCCAAAAACGACTGCAAGGAACGACATGCCACGCAGCGCGGCAGCCGTGTAGTGAAGCACAAGGCAACACAAACAAAGCAACAGCACTGCCGAGAACGACAGGGCGAGCGGACCAGCAGGTCGGCAACCGTGGAGCGGAGCACAAGGCACCAGCAACAAGGCCACCAACCTACAGGGCACACAAGCGGCAAGCACGGAAGGCACGGCCAATGTGTTGGCTGTTTTTTCAGTCTTCGCATTTTTGTGGTACTACTATTTTTTGTGTTGGCTGTTTTTTCAGTCTTCGCATTTTTGTGTTGGCTGTTTTTTCAGTCTTCGCATTTTTGTGTTGGCTGTTTTTTCAGTCTTCGCAAGGCACACAAGCGGCCAATGTGTTGGCTGTTTTTTCAGTCTTCGCATTTTTGTGGTACTACTATTTTTTGGTTTGGCACACAAGCGGCAAGCACGGAAGGCACACAAGCCAATGTGTTGGCTGTTTTGTGGTACTACTATTTTTTTTTGGTTTGGCAAGCACGGAAGCAGCGAAGCGCAAGGCACACAAGCGGCAAGCACGGAAGCAGCGAAGCGCAAGGCAACACCAACAACACGGCCACACCGCACAGCAAACACATCAACCAGCAAAGAACCACACGCGAAGCAAGCGGGACAGGCAGCAAGGCAGCGGCGGAGTGCAGACGAGGACGTCCACACATCCAACACGGAGCAAAGCAGAACATGACCTACTCACATCATGATTGAAGCCCGCAGACTGTTGGTTCCCACCACCCACTGAGCCAGGGAGTCACTCCGACGAACATCCGTCATCACCGACAGGCAACACAGGCATCTGAACCGAGCAGCCCCCATAAGAGTGCAGTAGGCACTCCAAACGAGGAACTACCGACTGTTTTGGCACTACTTAAGGGTGCTCAGCTGGGCGCACAAAAAAAGTTAGAAAAAATCAGGGGAAGAACAGAACAGAAAAAAGACTGACAAACATAAATTTAAACTGATTGTGTGTGTGTGTGTGTGTGTGG